CACCTCCCGGGCGATTCTCCTGTCTCAGCCTCCTGAGTAGCTGGGATTACAGATGTGCGCCACCATACCCAGCTAATTTTTGTATTTTTAGTAGAAACTGGGTTTCACCATGTTGACCAGGATGGTCTCGATCTCTTGACCTCGTGATCCACCTGCCTTGGCCTCCCAAAGTGCTAGGATTACAGGTGTGAGCCACCACAGTTCTCACTTTATTGATTCCCTTAAGAACTGATTGTTAGGAAGAGCTGGGCCCCTCCCCTCTGTCCTCTCTCTTGCCCTGAGACCTCTGCACAATGGCTCCCTTTCAGCTTCTACCATTACTGGAAGTAGACTGAGGCCCTCACCAGAAGCAGATGCTGGTGCAATGCTTCTTGCACAGCCTGCAGAACCATGAGCCCAGTCAACCTCTTTTCTTTCTAAATTACCCAGCCTCAGCCATTCCTTTATCACAACATTAAATGGATTAAGACACCAGGGAAGCCAAGCATGTGATTAGAGGATTGGAACTTTCAGCCGCCTCCATCTCTGGGAATGGGAGAAGAGCTAGAGGTTGAGTCAATCACCAGTAACCAATGATTTAATCAGTTAGGCCTATGCAGTGAAGCATCTGTAACAACCCTAACTGAAGAGGCTCAGAGAGCTTCAGGGTTGCTGAAAAAGAATGCATCCACATGCAAGAGGGTAGCAGACCCCAAACTCCATGGGAACAGAAGCTCACATGCTCAGAACCGTTCCAGACCTCACCCTCTGTACCTCCTTACCTGTAATATCCCTTATAATGAACCAGTAAACTTAAGTAATGTGTTTCCCTGAGTTCTATGAGCCGATATAGCAAAATGTCAAACATGAGGGGTTGTGGGAACTCCTGATTGGTAGCCAGTTTATCAGAAGTTCAGGTGACAACGTGGGAACTGTGACTGGCATCTGAAATGGGGTGCTCCCCGGTCTTGTGGGACCGAGCCCTTAACCTGTGGGGTCTCTGTTAGCTCAGGGTAGTTAGTGTCATAATTTAATTGTAGGTTACCCATCTGGTGTCAGTAGAGTTGAAGGATTGCTTAATGTGAAGGAAAACCTCACACATTTGGTGTTGAAAGTGTTGTGAATACACGAGTGTTTTTCTTTCTTTTTTTTTTTTTTGAGACTGAGTTTTACTCTTCTTGCCCAGGGTGGAGTGCAGTGGCACAATCTCAGCTCATTGCAAGCTCTGCCTCCTGGGTTCAAACGATTCTCCTGCCTCAGCCTCCCAGGTAGCTTGGATTACAGGCATGCACCACCATGCCCAGCTCATTTTGCATTGTTTCTTTTTCTTTTTTGACCTGGTGTCTGGGTATCATTTTGTATTTTTAGTAGAGATGGGGTTTCTCCTTGTTGGTCAGGCTGGTTTCAAACTCCTGACCTCAGGTGATCCACCCACCTAAGTCTCCCAAAGTACTGGGATTACAGGTGTGAGCCCCTGCACCTGGCCGTGTTTTCCTTTATTTATATTTTTTTGATACAGGCTCTCACTCTGTTGCCCAGGCTGGAGTAAGGTGGTGTGATCATGGCCCATTGTAGCCTTGACTTCCTGAGCTCAAGTGATCTCCTCACTTCAGCTTCTCGAGTACCTGGGATTACAGGCACATGTCACCATACCCAACTAATTTTTGTATTTTTTAAGAGATGGGTTCTGGCTATGTTGATCTCAAACTCCTGGGGGCTGGTCTCATACTCCTGGGCTCAAATGATCCTCCTGCCTTGGCCTCCTAAAGTGCTGTGATGCATGGGTGGTTCAGTGGTAGAATTCTTGCCTGACTAAAGTGCTGTGATTACAGATGTGAGCAACTGTGCCCAGCCATGGTTTTCTTTTAGCCATGCTGATTATTGCATGAGCTTTAGTTCATACATTTTATTTTGCAACTATTCCATTATATGACTATATCACGTTGTACTCTTGATGAGCACGTTGGTTGTTTCCAGTCTATGGCTATTAGAGTGTGTTGCCAATACTGTTGTTCATGTATTCTGATGCATGTGAGTACACCATTAAAAAAAAAAAATATATATATATATACCTGAGTATTGCTGGATGTTTTAGTCATTTTGTGTTTCTATAATAGAATACCTGAGGCTGGTAATTTATAAAGGAAAGAGATTTATTTGGCTCATGATTCTGGAGGTTGAAAGACTCAAGACTGGGCAGCTTTACCTGATGAGGTCCTCAGGCTGCTTCAACTCATCAGGGAAAGAGAAGCGGAGTACTGTGTGCAAGAAGATCACATAGCAAGAGAGGGAAACTGAGGAAGACAGCTAGTCTATTCTGCAAGAGCAAGAACCTATTTATCCTTAAGGGAGGGCATTAATCTATTCATGAGGAATCTGCTCCCATGACCCAAACAGCTCCCACTAGGCCATGCCTGTCAACCCTGAATGAGTTTTGGTAGGGACAAAACGTCCAAACCATAGCACTGGGTGATAACAATGTGTATCTTCAACTTTCCTACATAATGCCAACCTATTTTCCAAAGCCACTTGGAATTGCTAAGCTTTTCCATTTTTGCCAATGTAGTGAATGTGTGTAGTATATAAAGACATATTTCTTCTTTTTTTTTTTTTTTTTGAGACAGAGTTTTACTTTTGTCACCCACTCTGGAGTGCAATGGCACAATCTCAGCTCATTGCAACCTCTGCCTCCCAGATGCAATTCTTCTCCCTCAGCCTCCCAAGTAGCTGGGATGACAGACACCTGCCACTACTCCCAGCTAATTTTTGTATTTTTAGTAGAGACGAGGTTTCACCATGTTAGCCAGGCTGGTCTCGAACTCCTGACCTCAGGTGATCCACCTGTCTCAGCCTCCCAAAGTGTTGGGATTACAGGGGTGAGCCACCCTGCCTGGCCAAAGAGATTTCTAATTTGCATTTTCTTGATTACTAATGAGTCTGATGCATTTATTTGCCATTCTAGGTTTTCTGTTTTGTGCAAAATCTTAAGCTTTTATGTTTTTACTTTCACATTGAAGTCTAGGAAGTATGACATAGGGATGCAATTTCTTTTTCTTTTCCTCTGTTGGTGACCGATTGACCTAGCACCATTATTCAGAATATCATCCTTTTCTCAATCTTCTGCAGTGAAGGCTTGGTCTAGTCTCAAGCATCCATATATGCATGGATCTGTTTGTGAGTTCTCTACTGTGTCCCATTATTTGGTTTATCTATTTCTGCACCAATACTATAGCCTCTTTGAACAAAAAGAGGATGATTTAATACAATATATGGAGTGGAGAAACTCAAAAAGGCCTGTCTGTTTAGGTTTTCCTTGGCCTCTCTGTGCAGCATTCCTCCTTGTGACCCCCGGTGGGATAAGAACCCTCTAGGGTTTATTTTCTTTACAGCCAGCTGTCACATAGAAAGGCAGGGCTGGAGGAAGGTTAGAGTAGTATTTGCAGGTGCCATGGCCTGCTCTGAGGGAAAAAGGTTCTGGTTTCTATGACCTGCAAGGGGGAAGAGGAACTCTAGTTGCTGTGGTTTGCCTCAGGAGAAGATGAGTGGTCACAGAGAGGAGGACAGGAGAAGGTCAGAGAGAATGGGCTTCTGAACTTGATGCTTGACTTTCATTTGGGGTATTGTTTTCTGAGCCACAACAGCATACATTCATATGACCCCTTGTTAATGAAAAGAGTCAAATTCTGGAAAATATTTGAAGAGATTTATTCTGAGCCAAATATGAATGATTCATGGCCTGTGACATAGCCCTCAAAAGATCCTGAGAACATGTGCCCAGGGTGGTTGGGGCATAGCTGGGTTTATACATTTTGGGAGGCATGAGACTTCAATCAATACATGCAAGATACACATTGGTTTGTCTGGAAGGACAAGACAACTCAGAGTCAGGGAGGGGGTGCTTCCAGGCCTAGGTAGGTTTAATATGTTCTGATTAGCAATTGGTTGAAAGTTATTAAGAATAGAGAGAATGTCCAGATTTGCCATAAGGGGTTGTGGAGACCAAGGTTTTATTATGCAGATGAAGGCTCCAAGTAACAGGCCTCAGAGAGAATAGATTGTAAATGTTTCTTACCACACTTAAGGTTGGCCTTGATGTTAGTGGCCTACCCTACCCCATTCTATCATGGCCTGAACAAGTTTTTCAGGTTAACTTTGGAATGCCCTTGGCAGAGAGGAAGGGTCTATTCAGATGGTTTGGGTTCAGAATTTTAGTTTTTTGGTTTACACCATTATATCTGAATATATATAAATACAAACACAAACTTCACCAAAAATTACTTTCTTTTTCTAATGGTGTGTGTGTTTGTTTTGAAACAGGGTCTCTGTCACTCAGGCTGGAGTGCAGTGGCATCCTCAGCTCACTGCAGCCTCGAACTCCCAGCTCCAGCGATCCTCCCACCTCAGCCTCCTGAGTAGCTGGAACCACAGGCGCACACATGACGTCCTGCTAAGTTTTTGTATTTTTGGTAGAGAAGGGGTTGCATTATGTTGCCCAGGCTGGTCTCGACTTCCCCGGGTTCACGCGATCCTCCCGGATTCACGCTATCCTCCTAGGCTCACGCGATCCTCCAGTCGCGGCCTCTGAGCGGCTGGGATCAGGCAAGAACCCCCGTGCTCTGCCTTTGTATTTAGTTTCGGAAATGTTGAGATGGACGCAAAGGGCTGAGTGCTCAGTGTCCGCCAGCCACCCTGAGCCGCAAGCTTCCGTCCAAAAAGGCATCGCCCTTTTCCTGCCGGGGCCGCTAACAGCACTAATACGGTCCGAGTGACATCTGCAAAGCTCGGGAACGGCGACACATGGGAAGGCGGGTAGGATCCTGGGGGCCCTCGGAAGAGCCACGCAGTCTCGCGGCGGACGCCGCCAGCACCCACACACTCCCACCCAGGCCTGGGCCGCCAGCCAGGACCCTCTAGCCAGCACCTCTATGGTTTAAAAAAAAAAAAATTAAAAAATAAAAATAAATAAACCCAGGAAACCGGAAGTTGCCCGCTTGGCTGGGAAGGGATGGGCGGGGCCTCCGAGGGGCGGGGCCTCCGTCACCACCTCCGCTGCGGACCAAGGCGAGATGGCGGCCACTGAGGGGGTCGGGGAGGCTGCGCAAGGCGGAGAGCCAGGGCAGCCGGAGCAGCCCCCGCCCCAGCCGCACCCACCGCCGCCCCACCAGCAGCACGAGGTAGAGATGGCGGCCGAGGCCGGGGAAGCCGTGGCGTCCCCCATGGACGACGGGTTTCTGAGCCTGGACTCGCCCTCCTACGTCCTATACAGGTAACGCCCCCGCGGCTACCGCGGCGCGGGATTCTCCCTGGAGGCCTAGCTGCCCCAAGGCCCGCGGCGCGCGCTCCCGGCCCCGTCGCGCCCGGCCGAAGTTCCCGTGGTGTCGTGTGGGCTGGTGCGGGGCGCTGGGCCGGGTCAGCAGCCGTGAGGTCGTCTCTTCCCAGGGCGGCGCCGGCGCGAGACCGTGGGGACGCGGAACAGCGAGGTCTCGGCTTCCCGCCCGCTTTAAGCCGCGCGGAAACTGCTGCGCCCTGAACCGCACTCGTTCAGATCTTCAGGCGTCGCGATGAGTAAATATAAGAAATTTCCCGCTCTCTTCCACGGCCCAGAACGCTGTGCCGGTAACAAGCAGTGAATACCCAGAGTTAGGATGCAGTTCTGGTAGTCGGGCAGTAAACCAGGGCCAGATTTGCTCACCCTAAAAACGAGGTGTGAGAGCTTCCCGTGGCTTGCTCAGCTTGGAGCACTGAGGCATTTTCATCCAATCCGTATTTTAGCGCCTCATATCAGCCAGGCTAAAGGCTGAAAAGAGATTTGTTACTGAATCTCTCTTGAGCTTCCCTGCATCGCTTTGTACATAATACAAGTGATGTGTACTGGGGACGCTTCTCGTCTTTGCTGACACCCAGTTCCATCAGTTCTTTGCTTTCAGATGGTAATGCTGATTCCCTAATTCCCTGTGAACCTGCGGAGATAATCGCCTTAGTTTTACTTCTGTAGTTCTAGGTAAACCCATTCTATGGCTTGTTTACCTTGATTTTATGAATTAATATAAGTCACTAACTAGAGTTTTTCTTTTTTGGAGATAATGTTTTACTGATTTAAATTGGTAGGCCCGTAACTCTAAAGTCAGCTCTCTAGATTGTGAAATACGCAGGTTCTCACATGACTGTGCGTGATTTCCTGGTGACTAAATGACAGCCTTACCTTTCCAGGCCACTCCCCCAGGCTTTAGGTGTCACTCTCAGGTCATGGCTTCTCTTGTATTTCTCCTTGTATAATGGACACAATTTCTAGCATGGATGTCACAGAATCTTTGCTATCAATAGTTGATCATTATAGAGAAATGAAAAGTGAAAGGAAGGCCGAAGGCGCTTTCTCATGTCTATAATCCCAGCACTTTGGGAGGCTGAGGTGGGCTGATCATGTGAGGTCAGGAGTTGGAGACCAGCCCGGCCAACATGGTGAAACCCCCTCTCTACTAAAGATATAAAAATTAACCAGGGATGGTGGCCAGCGCCTGTAATCCCAGCTAATCGGGAGGCTGAGGCAGGAGAATTGCTTGAACCCAGGAGGCGGAGGTTGCAGAAAGCCTGGATTGTGCCACTGCACTCCAGCCTGGATGTCTAGAGCGAGACTCCATCCCCCCACCAAAAAAAAAAAGCGAAAGGAAAAGAATATAAGTGAACGTGTTGAAGAGAAATTTGGTCACACTGGGTAGTTCACAAATTTCTGTAAAGCAGTAATTGTTACTATACAGTTATTTTAGCATTGCTTATTAGTAGTCATTGAATGCTGCCTGTTTGCAGTGGATGTTTTAAGGTGCTTAACATGTTACCTCATTTAATCCTCCAAAAAACCTTATAATGTTGGTTGGCAGTAATATTGCCCTCTTTTTTTAAAATGATGAAACTGAAGCCCAAAGAAGTTACGTAACTTTCTGAAGGTCACACAGCTAGTAAGTGGTAGAGCCAATGTTACGACTTAGGCAGTTGTCGGATTCCAGAGCCTGCTTTCTTACTGATTACATGCACCACCTCTTGAGTAAATTAATGGTGCTTGCTTATTAAAATGTCAATTTCTAGTACTTTGTTACTCAAACTTTTTAAAAATGCTTACTGACTCAAAGAATCTTAGTAGACCAATGAGTTAGATTGATTTCTAAGTTAAAAATACTGTGGGCCAGGCGCAGTGGATCACCCAAGGTCAGGAGTTTGGGACCAGCTTGACCAACATGGTGAAACCCATTTCTACTAAAAATACAAAAAATTAGCTGGGCATGGGGTGGACGCCTGTAATCCCAGCTGCTTGGCAGGTGGAGGCAGGAGAATCGCTTGAACCTGGGAGGTGGAGATTGCAGTGACCCGAGATCTGGCTACTGCACTCCAGCCTGGGTGACAGTGCAAGACTGTTTCAAAAAAAAAAAATAAATAAAATAAATACTGTGTACTTGCTGCAAAAACATGTTTTCTACTTATAAAACTTTGAGGCCGGGCGCGGTGGCTCAAGCCTGTAATCCCAGCACTTTGGGAGGCCGAGACGGGTGGATCACGAGGTCAAGAGATCAAGACCATCCTGGTCAACGTGGTGAAAACCCGTCTCTACTAAAAATACAAAAAGTTAGCTGGGCATGGTGGCGCGTGCCTGTCATCCCAGCTATTCAGGAGGCTGAGGCAGGAGAATTGCCTGAACCCAGGAGACGGAGGTTGCGGTGAGCAAGATCGCGCCATTGCACTCCAGCCTGGGTAACAAGAGTGAAACTCTGTCTCAAAAAAAAAAAAAAAAAAAAACTTTGAATTTAAAAACTTGATTAATGTTTGAGCATCTGGGGGTTGTTTAATTTTACATTAGTAGTTTAATATATAAAGCATATTGGCAAAACTTGGTCATGAAGAATCCAACCATGATTACAATACGAGCCCTGTAAGTTACTGATATTAATATAAGTGTAATTGTTGTCATTTTAAAAACACTAGAGTTCATTTTTCTTCTGTATTTGAATGTAACCACTGGTGGGGGAATGTTTATTTTCAGGGACAGAGCAGAATGGGCTGACATAGATCCAGTGCCGCAGAACGATGGCCCCAATCCCGTGGTCCAGATCATTTATAGTGACAAATGTAAGTTTGTTTGAATTAGGAAAAGGTCTGTAAGTTACACTTAGTAGCAGAATTGGAATTCACAACTATGTAGCAAGATAGATGACAGATTTTTGTCTAATAAAAATCTGAATGACTTAAGATGAGTTAATTTTGTGCTTTTTTTGGTGATTTATCTTTATGATTAAAAGTTTTATTTTGCCCAAAGACTGGACATATTCTAAGTAATGAACAAGTAATGAATGTTACAATGTAATAGATAATAGCTGCTATGTAATTGTGCTTTTCTTGTCTTTCCTGGAGACCCCACCTCCTGGGAGATTGTGCATGTATAATACAATATAAATGAGTTACTGTTTTTAGAATAAACTTTGGCTGCTGAAACATCAGCATTTAAAAATATATTTTGGCAATGAAGTGTTAGGCTCAGTTTAATATCAAAACTGAGTGGTATTAAAATGAGTGGATATTAGAATGAGTAGATTTTTTTCTTTGATAAAGTATCATTCTTTTATGATGAATGAAAATGTAAATTGAAGGTCATGCAAATATTAATTGTTAATTGTTCTTCTAGGAAAGGGAAAATGAATAAAATGGAATGACAGTTTTGTAATTTATGTATATATATGTTCTTTCAGCTAAGGCTTTACTAAGATCATTCTTTTACAAAACCATTTTTTTCTGATAACAAAATGACAATAAATGTTTAAAAAATAATGAAACAGGTTTTCCTTATTAAGTATGCAAATACGCTACTAAATGATTAAGTGGAAGTAGCACAGAAATAGATTAATAAGGACTCTAGAAATAGGTCCTCACTCTATGAAAACTTAATTAACATATGAGAAAAAGGACGTTTTATGCCTTCATGAAAAGGATGGATTAATCAAATAATGGTTTGGAACAGTTGGCTCTGCAATTAGATAAAGGCAGAATTGTATCACCTATCATTCTTAGGGTGAAGAATGTATTTGTTGGCGAAATGTAAACCTCAGAATCGGTTAAGGAAATGGTCAGAATATATAACTGCACTAAAATGCAAAACTCCCATACTTTGAAGGATATTATATGTGAAGAGACACTTCACAAAATATAAGTTATCTGTAAAGTGATATTAACTTTACTAGTGATCAGAGAAATATAAATCATAACCTTTTCAGATTCATAAGTACTTAGAGATGTTGGGGGAAACATATAATCTTATGTTTCCATTGAGGATAAATTAATAACCTTTTTTGCAAGGTATAAAATTAACATTTTGGGCAGGATGTGGTGGCTCACGCCTGTAATCCCAGCACTTAGAGAGGCCAAGGTGGGCATATCACCTGAGGTCAGATCACCTGAGGTAGGAGTTCCAGACTAGCCTGGCCAACATGGTGAAATCCCATCTCTACTAAAAATACAAAAATTAGCGAGGCGTGGTGGCAGGAACCTATAATCCCAGCTACTGAGGAGTCTGAGGCAGGAGAATCACTTGAACCCGAGAGGTGGAGGTTGCAATGAGCCGATATTGTGCTGTAGACTGGATGACAAGAGCAAAACTCCGTCTCAAAAAAAAAAAAAAAAGAAAAAGAAAAATTAACATTTTGAATTCTTACATACACACCATAGTTAAAACCATAAAATAAAAGATAAGTTTGACCTGCCAACCATTTATAGACAAATAGATCAATTTAAAACCACAGCAGAAGAAACCATGAACAAGTAGCAGTGTGAGAGAAGATATGTCATATAAAGCAGGATCCATATTATAACTTGTAAGTCATTTCTACAAAAGGATAAGGAGACAGAGTTTAATAAAAAAAATGGACAAAGGGTATGAACTGGCAATTCATAGAAAAGAAAATGCCATTGGCCAATAAAATAGGAAGTATCTCTTATCATTAGGAACGAAGGATAGACAGGTTGAAATGAGAATGCCATTTTCCGCCCATGTTTTAAGTGGTAGAAATGAAAACTGTGTTATGGTATTAGGTATTAAGATATGTGAAGCGCTCCATGCGTTTCATATGGCAGTTTTCATATGTTTAGCCATTTTGGAAAGCAGTGTTGTTATATCTCTTAAAACTGGAAAATGCACCTATCTTATAGCCTAGCAATGCTGCTTCTGATGTAATATTCTGGGTTCATTCTGGCACATGGTGTGAGAAGATATGCGCAGGAGGTTACAAGGACAGACTTTGGAGCCAGACCATCTGGTTCAAATTCTAACTTCACATTTTACTGACTGTGATCTTGGACAAGTTATTTAACTCCTATGTACCTCTGTTTCCACATGTGTAAAATGAGGATAATGGTACTAACTATAGATGTAGTAAATTTTTCACTAAAATAAGAGAATAGTGTCTGGCTCATAGTAAGCACTATATATGTTAGCTACTGTATTTGCAGCATTTTTGGCAAAAGTAAGATATTGGAAACTACTTATATGTCTATCTTTTGGAGAAATTGATAAAATGTGTCATTGTCATACAGTTGAATACTATATAACCATTGAGAGGATTTAGATCTATTATAACATGAACAGATCTCAGAAACAATGTTGAGTTAAAAAAGGCAAAGTATTGGAAACTTTGAGCATGACAGTATCTTGTTCATAATTTTTTTTTTTTGAAATGGATTCTCACTCTGTTGCCCGGCTGGAGTGCACAATCTCGGCTAACTGCAACCACCGTCTCCTCGGTTCAAGCGATTCTGCTGCCTCAGCCTCCTGAGTAGTTGGGACTACAGGCCTGCACCATTATGCCCAGCTAATTTTTGTATTTTTAGTAGTGACGGGGTTTCACCACGTTGGCCAAGATGGTCTAGAATTTTGACCTTGTGATCCACCTGCCTTGGCCTACCAAAGTGCTGGGATTACGGGCGTGAGCCACTGTGCCTGACCAATATAATTTTTAAATTAAAAGAATATGTTAGGCTGGACGCAGTGGCTCATGCCTGTAATCCCAGCACTTTGGGAGGCCAAGGTGGGTGGATCGCCTGAGGTTAGGAGTTTGAGACTAGCCTGACCAACAGTGAAACTCCGTCTCTACTAAAAATACAAAAAATTAGTCAGGTGTGGTGGCAGCGCCTGTAATTCCAGCTACTCGGGAGGCAGGAGAATCACTTGAACCCGGGAGACGGAGGTTGTGGTGAGCCGAGATCGTGCCATTGTACTCCAGCCTGGGTAACGAGTGAAACTCTGTCTCAAAAAAAAGAAAAAAAAAAGAATATTTTAATGTTATTTCATTTTACCTTTTACATTGACTTGGATTTTGGTTGCTTACATAGGAACCTAAGGCTTTGGAGCTATGCCAGCCTGATAGCCTCCAAGTTTATTTTATCAGTGTGCATATGTATATGTGTATATTTTATGTGTATGTGTGTGTAAAATAATGTTATATGTATATAGTTAATGTTTTATTTTGTTACAAATTTGAAATTATTTGGAAGCTTGTTTTTTTGTTTTTTTGAGACAGAGTTTCGCTCTTGTTCCTAAGGCTGGAGTGCAATGGCATGATCTTGGCTCACTGCAACCTCTGACTCCTGGGTTCAAGCGATTTTCCTGTCTCAATCTCCTGAGTAGCTGGGATTACAGGCATGCGTCATCACGTCTGGCTAATTTTGTATTTTTGGTAGAGACAGGGTTTCACCATGTTGGCCAGGTGAAAAAAAAACTTCACCTGGCTTTGAACTCCTAACCTGAAGTGATCCACCTGCCTCGGCCTCCCAAAGTGCTGAGATTACAGGCATGAGCCATGGCGCCTGGCAAAGGAAGCTTGGTTCTTAATGACTGCATAGTATTTCATAGTTGTTTGACATTTATGTTGTTTCTAAATTTTGCTCTGAATGAATTCAACGTTGTTTTTTTTGAGACAGAGTCTTACCGGCAGCCAGGCTGGAGTGCAGTGGTGCGATCTCAGCTCAGTGCGATCTTGGCTCACTGCAACCTCTGCCTCCCCAGTAGCTGGAATTAAAGGCCCATGCTACCACACCCAGCTAATTTTTGTATTTTTAGTAGAGATGGGGTTACACCATGTTGGTCAGGCTTATCTCGAACTTCTGACTTGGTGATCTGCCTGCCTCAGCCTGTCAAAGTTCCAGGATTACAGGCGTGAGCCACTGTGCCCGACCTAGTTTACACTATCTTTAATAATGTATGAGTGAAAAAAGCAAAGCTCAGAGTGGGATGGGATCTCATTTGCATAAAAATGAAGGATGGAATTAGGCTATATACTTGTAGATGCATAGAATATATTTAGAAGGATACAGTAGAATCAGTTAATAATGGTTGCTTTTCTGGGGAGGGGGATTGGGAATTTAGTGGAATGGAAATTTAGTGTGAACCTTTTTGTACTGTTTTGAGTTTTCTGCCTTTGGGCATATTTTTCACTTAAAAATCTGATCATCAAAATAAAATTTCAGAAAAACAGCTATATGAATGTATTTGAATGTATGCACCCCTAATTTTCCTTTTACACATAAGGCCTATGGGAGATTTGGAATCTGGCATGAATTCTTACGCATGCACATAAGCAGTAAGCATGTGGTTAGACATAAGTAGCCCATGCATTTTGTGGCTGTGACACTAGGGCATTATCAGGGTAGCAACCATAGCCATTTGACTGCTTTTTGGTATAAATGATACAAAGGCCAATAAAATATTCTTCTGCATAGATATAGCGACATTATACATTATAGTGCTAGTTGTAAGTAAGATGGTCCTAATGTGGTTGTGTGCTCTATCTCTAGTTAGAGATGTTTATGATTACTTCCGAGCTATCCTACAGCGTGATGAAAGAAGTGAACGAGCTTTTAAGCTAACCCGGGATGCTATTGAATTAAATGCAGCCAATTATACAGTGTGGTAAGTAATATACATCGACAGTACTCCCTGCATAAATGTTTTACTCTAAGTGGCTTTTCTTTTTTAAGCTGTACTTTAATTTTTTGTTTAGGGGGATGGAGTTTTGCTCTTGTTGCCCAGGTTGGAATGCAGTTAGTACAATGTTGGCTCACTGCAACCTCTGCCTCCTGGGTTGAAGTGATTCTCATGCGTCAGCCTCCCGAGCAGCTGGGATTACAGGCAGCCGCCACCATGCCTGGCTACTTTTTTTGTATTTTTAGTAGAGATGGGGTTTCACTATGTTGGCCAAGCTGGTCTTGAACTCTTGACCTCAGGTGATCCACCCTCCTTGGCCTCTCAAAGTGTTTGAATTACAGATGTGAGCCACCAAAGCTGGCCTTTAATTTTTATCAAAATAGCAATTTGATTATGGGTTTAAGAAGCTGCATAAAAAAATGTAGCAATCTCCAGCCCATTCCCTCCTACCGCCAGTTCCATTCCGCAGAGGCAATAACTCTTAGGGATTTTTTTCTTGAATTAATCTCCATATTCTAGATTATTTGCTTAATTGTTTTTCTTTAGTATGTTTTGTAGGTTTTTTTTTCTTTTTCTTTTTTTTGTTTTTTAGTATGTTTTGTAGGTTTTTTTTTTTTTAGGATGTTTCGTAGGTTTTTTTTTTAGTATGTTTCGTATGCTTAATTATTATTTTCATTTTAAACATTATTCCTTCTGTGAAAGATCGTTGATTCTCCACTACCCTCTCTCCATCACAAATGAGCACTCAGTTTATGTTCATGCTGACCCACGTTTTAAAGTGTAATTACATTCTTTCTAACAGAGTGTCATTTTTGTTTTGTTTTCTTTGTACCAATAGGTAATTTGTCTTCCAGATGCTCTGATATATGTGAAGTGTCATTTTTCTATTGAACACAGGTCATCCTTCAGTTCCATTTTTCTTTTCACTAGTTGGATGCTGCATACCTGGTCTTCAGCTCGTTCATGTGTTAGATCTCCTGTGTCCTAGATCCCATACCTTTCTCTTTCTTGATTTACTTTCTCATTTTATAGAGCACATCATTGAGTAGAAGGATGGAAGTTAATTTTTGAGATTTATACAATTAAAAATCAGTAGTCTCTCTTCAACGATAGTAATAGGATTCTAGATTGGAAATTATTTTCCTTAGTAAATTTAAAACTCTTTTTCTGTTTCTCTTAGCTTCTTTTCAGGTTGAAAAGATTTCCATTCCTTTGTTTAAAACTTCTTTTTAAGTTCTGGGGAGTTTTTTGTGTTCTTCTGATAATTTTTTTTTTTTTTTTTTTTGAGACGGAGTTTCGCTCTTGTCACCCAGGCTGGAGTGCAATGGTGTGATCTCGGCTCACCGCAACCTCCGCCTCCTGGGTTCAGGCAATTCTCCTGCCTCAGCCTCCTGAGTAGCTGGGATTACAGGCACGTGCCACCATGCCCAGCTAATTTTTTTTTTGTATTTTTAGTAGAGACGGGGTTTCACCATGTTGACCAGGATGGTCTCGATCTCTTGACTTCGTGATCCACCCGCCTCGGCCTCCCAAAGTGCTGGGATTACAGGCGTGAGCCACCGCACCCGGCCTCTTCTGATAATTTCTTCTCTCTTTCCTCTGTTTACTTTTTCTGGAATGCCTTTTAGTTGTATGTTGTATCTCCTGGATTACCTTTTCTTATATCCATTTCTTTGTCTTTTTATTTACTTTTGAGATATTTCCTCAATTTTATTTTCTAACTCTTGTATGGATTTTTAAAGATTTCTACATTTAATTTGGGGGAGCTGTTTTTTGTTCTCTGAATATTCTTTTTTAAATAGCGTTGTGTGTGTGTGTGTGTGTGTGTGTGTTTTAGAAGTACAGTTACCTTGGAGTTTATTTAAACTAAGAGAAAATGTCATAATGTTTTCACGTAATACATACTTGCTTCCTTAAATAACTATTGTGTGACAGTGGAAGGAATTAAGGAATGTTGCACTTGTGATCCATACAAACCACCAACATTTTAGGTTGTACACAATTAAAGAAATACCTGGGTCGGATGTGATGGTTTATGCCTGTAATCCCAGCTCTTTGGGAGGCCAAGAGGGGCGGATCAGGAGTTTGAAACCAGACTGGGCAACACGGTGAAACCCTATCTTGGGACGCCTGTAATTCCAGCTACTTGGGAGGCTGAGGTGGGAGAATCACTTGAACCCAGGAGGCAGAGGTTGCAGTGAGCTGAGATTGTGCCACTGTACTCCAGCCTGCGCAACAGAGCGAGACTCCATCACCAAAAAAAATAAGGAAATATCGGAAATACTTTTTAAAACACTGTAATGGCCAATACATAGAGGCAAGCCGTAGGTGGGCACAGGAATGCAGTTTAGAAAAGAAAGAAAAAAATCATATAGGAACTACTCAGTTACTTTAAAATCTCTGAGCAAGAAAAGCAACAGTGAACTTTTTTTTTTTTTCCATGTTTTAAAAAAGTGACCTTTTTTTATTACTATGCATAGGTAGGGCCTGCATGAGGTGGTTGGTGTGCTGGGCTCGGTATGATGTGCAGGCTGTGGAGATGATGACAGAAAGGCAGAAAGGAAATGGGGTGGATTTGAAGGCTAGGCCCAAGGGGTCCTCAGATCCGCTTCTTGGAAGGGACAGCCTTGAGGAAGGAGTCATGGCAAGCCGTAGCTAGACCACTAATCAGATTAAGAATATTCTGAGAAATCTAGCTGCCCATCACTCTTGGTGTCCAGTTTCTTCATCATACGGTCAAGGACACTGGGGTCCTTGTTCTTTTTGAAGGCAGCCAGTTCTCTATTCATGATGCTTAGGAACTCCGTCTCGGAGAGAGTGTAGTTACAAGCATCCTTTCTAGCATACCTCTGGAAAACAGTAGTCAGGGGACTCAATGCACCACTCAGTCTCTGTAGGGCTGGAGATTTTTGCCATGTTGAAGCTGAGCGAGGCATGTGGGAGGCTGTGGTTGGGAGCAGCACTGAGAGCTCTGGGCGCGGTGTACAGATCTGGAGCCTCTTCCCGACCCACTGAAACATTGAACTTTCATATTGATTTTATGCAACTCCTATATAGTACCTTGAGCAAAAGTTAAGACTCTTCTCCTCTATTTTTGGTAAACGACTGCATGGTAAACGTAGATGACTTTTTCCTCTGGAATTTACCTGGGAGTAGCTTTTTAAAATTGTTATTTAAAAGAGGGCAGATTTGCCACTTTTATACTGATGTCACCAATTTTAATATTTCTTGGCATCTCAGGAAGATTCATATCTTTACAGCTGATACAGCACTGGTGGGAGCTTCCGCTAAGCCGGCCTCAGACTTTTCCAGCTTATTTTCTCTATCAATTTGTCTAACAATCTCATTCATGTTAGTCTCTAATAGCGTTCCCCTCATCACCATTTCTGCAAGAATATTGTGAACCTTGTCTACATGGAAAATCAAATCCAGTTCACAGACATTTTTGAAACATTTATCGAATGTTTCCACAAATACTTGAATTAGATCTAAAATGCCAATTTCACTCTGAAGAATTACACAGAAGACAAAATATTAACATTGCATAATGTCTATAAATCAGTTTGTTGTCAGGTCCTCCAATTAATAATCTTCCTTCTAGGAAATTACAAACTTTTTCATCTCAGATACCAAATGGAAAGTCTCCCTGATGAATTGCTGTTGTGTATCTTCACTGTAGGATTGGTAGAACTTGGAGAGCCTCGGCTTCTGGTGGTTGTTGAAGATTAGGATTGCCTTGATCATGGCTGGGCACTGGGGGCCAGGGCGGGGGCAGGTGCTTGAGTCTCGCCAGAGATCCTTCCCCACCCTCCCTTTCTTTTTTTCTTAATTTCATGGGTATGAGATCTTTTCATCTCTTTTGGTCTCTTTCATGGTTGGTAATTCTTGACTCTCTTTATGCTTATAAGAGAGATAGGAAAAATCCTGAATGAAAGCCGTGTATTTCAGTTTATCAGGATTTATCAGCTGGAGGGCTTCCCTGTGAAGTTACTGAGTGGGAGATGTGGCTGTGTTGTAGTGAAATCTCACTTGTCAGTATTTAAATCTTTTCTCTTGGACAGTGTCTCTCAAAGAGGATTAAGTAGTTTATTGCTTAAGGAGTGTACCTTTGGCTGCCACAGTTCCAGGCAGGGGAACATGGTAGGAGAGTCTTACTGTTTAGGATATCAACTTTTTTTTTTGAGTCGGAGTTTCGCTGTTGTTGCCCAGACTGGAGTACAAGGGCATGATCTTGGCTCACCGCAGCCTCCGCCTTCTGGGTTCAAGCAATTTTCCTGCCTCAGCCTCCCGAGTACCTGGGACTACAGGCGCCCACCACCATGCCCAGCTAATTTTTGTATTTTTAGTAGAGATGGGGTTTCACCTTGTTGACCAGGATGGTCTCGATCTCTTGACCTCATGATACACCCGCCTCGGCCTCCCAAAGTGCTGGGATTACAGGCTTGAGCCTTGTAATTTGAAATAGAAACTTCTTTTTTTCTAACTTAGTATACCAACATTTTAACTGTCCTTGTTTCCACCCTTTAACTTACCCTGCCTTCTTCTAGTGTGCCTGGTAACCCATTCTGCTTCATATTTTTCCAGAGAATAAAGCCACTTGTCACCTGCCCAAGACAGGATGTCACTTCTGCTCAGGGGAGTGGGAAGGGTCTTGACTGCCAAGGACTCTTTTTCTATAGTCTTTCCACTGCTTTTAGTCCCACCTTTGACCCCCAGTTTTGGAAATATGTCATACCTCTGATTTCTGGAATTTTCTTACAGTCTTATTCTGTGTTTTAGTCAGTTAAATCTTGTCTGTCTGCTTAAACTTCCCATAATGTTGTTGACCTCTTCCAGTTGCTATGGTATCTTTGTCCCAGATTCTCTTTGTTCTTGTGAGTTTATTCCTTTGTTGTCATTTTAGTGGGGTTTTATTAGGGAATAAGAATAAACTCGTTTGCTTAATCCAGCCTGTTTAACTGGAATTCTCAGTGTGTTTCATCATTTTTGGAACTTAGAATACACTTAAAGATTGCCTGCGAGTTTATTGATGTGAAAAAAGCAGTGTTCCTGGAATTGTTACCCATAAAAGCCAAGGGCTTATATTTACAGACTCCGTGAAGTCTACTTTTTAAAAATAATAATGGAGAGAAATACTATTGTCTCTCCTACTTTGCAGTTCATTTTATTTTATTATTATTATGATTATAATTATTAATTAATTAATTTTTTTGAGACGGAGTTTCACTATTGTTACCCAGGCTGGAGTGCAATGGCACGATCTCGGCTCAGCGCAACCTCTGCCTCCTGGGTTCAAGCAATTCTCCTGCCTCAGCCTCCTGAGTAGCTGGGATTACAGGCATGCGCCACCACGCCCAGCTAATTTTTTGTATTTTTAGTAGAGACGGGGTTTCACCATGTTGACCAGGATGGTCTCGATCTCTTGACCTCATGATCCACCTGCCTCGGCCTCCCAAAGTGCTGGGATTACAGGTGTGAGCCACTGCGCCCGGCCTTATTATTATTGTTTTTGAGACAGAGTCTCACACTGTTGCCCAGGCTGGAGTACAGTGGTGTAATCTCAGCTCACTGCAACCTCCGCCTCCCAGGTTCAAGCCATTCTTGTGCTGCAGTGTCCTGAGTAGCTGGGATTGCAGGTGTCTGCCAGCACATCCAGCTAATTTTTGTATTTTTCGTAGTGATGGAGTTTCACTATATTGGCCAGGCTGCTCTTGAACCCCTGACCTCAAGTGATCTGCCTGCCTTGGCCTCCCAAAGTGAGCAGTTCATTTTAAAAGCTAATAAAATAGGTTCTGGAATGCCCGTTATTTAGTAATTGGAAATTTTTGAAATTTTGAAGTAAAAATACACCAGAACTAACTTTTCAGGAAAAATTTTTTTGTTGTTCGTTCTCCGCCTATGGGAAAATTAAAGAGAAACTTGTTTCATTTATAAGTAGCGTGTTTGTGGTGGTTCTACAAGTATTTTGTTAATGTTTATAATAGAATTAATTTATTATATGGATAATGTATCTACAGAAACAAGCTGTACTGTATAGGGAAAGAGATGTCTTTGATTCTTGTATTATAGAACACTGGTGACCATGGTAGTACCTGAAAATGATTTTAGTTGGTTTTCTATCATTACTTAAGATTTAGAAATTTACTTTTCTTCTGTCTCATACTTGTTACCTTTCACTGTTTTTACTAAATGTGCTGATTTCTTCTAGTCACCAGATAGTTGTATGAATTTGGACACCCACAAGCAGTTTTATACAGAGTACCTTTGTATAATTTTTTTTATTTTTTTGAGATGGAGTTCCCCTCTGTTGCCCATGCTGGAGTGCATGGCACAATCTTGGCCAACTGCAGCCTCCACCTCCTGGGTTCAAGTGATTCTCCTGCCTCAGTCTTCCTGAGTAGCTGGATTACAGGCTTATGCCACCACGCCCAGCTGACTTTTTTTTTTTTTTTTTTTGTATTTTTAGTAGAGGCGAGGTTTCACCATGTTAGCCAGGCTGGTCTTGAACTCTTGACCTTAGGTGATCTGCTCACCTTGGCCTCCCAAAGTGCTGGGATTACAGGCGTGAGCCACCCTGCTCAGTCTGTAATTGTTTTTTTCTTTTTTGAGACGGAGTCTCGCTCTGAGTGCAGTGGCGCAATATCGGCTAACTACAACCTCTGTCTCCCAGGTTCAAGCGATTCTCCTGCCTCAGCCTCCCAAGTAGCTGGGACTACAGGCTACCATGCCTGGCTAATATTTTTAGTAGAGACGGGGTTTCACCATATTGGCCAGGCTGGTCTCAAACTCCTGACCTTGTGATCTGCCTGCCTTGACCTCCCAAAGTACTGGGATTATAGCCGTGAGCCACCATGCCCAGCCATATATAATTGTTAAATTATACAGAATACCGGCCAAAAATTTGTCTAACTGTATTGATGACTTGTAGCTGTGTTTGATGATGTTACTAGGCAACTTCTGTGGAATAATACGACTTTGGCTTTTTTATATTTGCCCTAGGCATTTCCGGAGAGTACTCTTAAAGTCACTTCAGAAGGATCTACATGAGGAAATGAACTACATCACGGCAATAATTGAGGAGCAGCCCAAAAACTATCAAGTTTGGTAAGATGAAAATAGGAAGAAAGGGTGTCATGATGCTAATATTAATAGTACTTGCTAATGGATGATGAGATCATTGGGAAATTTTTGTTTCTTTGTAATTTGAGTCCTTTACATTGGAGCTACTGTTAACTGCCTCATAGGATTGTTAGGATGATTAAAGAAAATAACTTATGTTTAGTGCTCAAAATGGTGCCTGATCTGTAGTTAACACTCGAATGTTAGCTGCCATTACTATTTAAAGTTTCAATGCGGTATGCTGTACTGCTAGAATCAGAAAAAATTAGAGTATGTTTGAAAATTTGAAAAATGCTTTCTGTTTACTGTGAGAAATTAAGCCCTTAGGCTAGAACGGATAAGAGTATGGGGATTGTTGGCTGGGCGCAGTGGCTCTCGCCTATAATCCCAGCACTTTGGGAGGCCGAGGCTGGTGGATCACAAGGTTGAGAGATTGAGACCATCCTGGTCAACATGGTGAAACACCGTCTCTACTAAAAATACAAAAATTAGCTGGGCATGGTGGCGCGTGCCTGTAATCCCAGCTACTCGGGAGGCTGAGGCAGGAGAATTGCCTGAACCCAGGAGGCGGAGGTTGCAGTGAGCCAAGATCGTGCCATTGCACTCCAGTCTGGGTAATAAGAGCAAAACTCCATCTCAAAAAAAAAAAAGAGTATGGGGATTGTTATGGGTGAAGGTAGCGGAACACAGTAGGGAAAAAGAGGTGTTACGGAGTAGGCAGAGAACAAATAAGAAAGAATTTGAACAGTAGTCAGTGTGCATAGCAGCTGGAATTGCTGCAGTGGTGGTGTGGTGTGGTATGTCGTGGTGATGGTGTGAGATGGTGGTGGTATGGCATGTGAGGTGATGTGGTGTGTCTGGTGGTGGTGACGTATGGTGTGATGTGACGTGGTGTGGGGTGTGGTGGTGTGACGTGTGTAGTGGTATGGTGTGGTGTGCTAGTGGTGTGTGATGGTATATGATAATGTGGTTTGGTGTGTGGTGCTATGGTGGTGTGATGTCTGGGGGTGTGCTGTGGTGGTGTGGGTGGTATGGTGTGTGTGGTGGTGCGATGGTGTGTAGTGATGGTATGGTATGGTATGGTGGTGTGTGATGGTGTATAGTGGTGGTATGGTGTGGTGTGGTAATGGTGTGTGATGGTGTGAGGTGTGGTTGTGGTGTGTGGTGTGGTGGTATGCAGTGGTGTGTGGTGGTGTGGTGTGGCGTGGTGATGGCGGCAGCGGTGGTGAAGAGGTGAAAGTGGTGAAGTAGAAGAGGCTGTCTGCCCTCTCACCAAAGCTGTCTCCACTTTGGTGCCTCAGCCTGCCTACTCATAGTACAGGAGTTACCACCATCTTGTTCTTTCCCAACATGATGACCTATACACATCATATCATCTTTATTCCTGAGATTTAAGGAAGACTTTAAAGGGCAGACCATTGAGTCCTTCATGCTTCTTTCCAGAAGCATGAAGGACCTTGATGCACCTGGAAAACTATGTAGTTCTGTGTGGTGCAGGTGGCCTCAGGAACAGGTACAAGGAGTTTGCACTGATTCTTAGTGGCAGTGGAGAGCTGGTGACAAGTTTTAATTAAGGAAGTAACATGATTAGACTTGTGTCATAGAAAGCTAACCGTGATGGCAGGTGGAGGCTGGACTGGAATAGGTCCACATTTCTGGAGGCCTGGAGTCTGGGAGGCCATTGTCATGGTGTAGGTTAGAAGAGATGAGGCTCAAAATGTGGCGGGGCTGTGGGAGAGAACGGCAAATCTGAGAGATTTTGTATGTAAAAGCAACAGGTTTTGAAGTTTAATTTATTGAGGGAGTGACAGAGAATGACTATATATTTGGCTTGACAACTGGGTCAGTAATAATGCTGGTTACTTTGGCAATTTGGGAGGTAAAGCAGCAAGTTTTTTTTCTTTCTTTATTTTGAGGCAGAATCTGGCTCTGTTGCCCAGGCTGGAGAGGAATGGTGTGATCCTGGCTCACTACAACCTCCGCCTCCTGGGTTCCAGCGATTCTCCTGCTTAGTAGCTGGGATTACAGGCACGCACCACCATGCCTGGCTAATTTTTTAATTTTGAGTAGGGACGAGATTTCACCATATTATCCAGGCCGGTCTCAAACTCTTGACCTCAAGTGATCCGCCTGGCTCGGTCTCCCAAAGTGCTGGGATTACAGGCATGAGCCACTGCGCCCGACCAAAAAGCAGCACGTTTTTGGGAGAGAAAGATGGGGTCAGTAATGGACAAGTGGAGTTTGATCTGCATGCGGAAAAACTGTGTACGGCTGTGCAGTAATTGTTCGAAAATACTCTATTCTTTTTTTTTTTTTTTTTTTTTAAATTGTGAGTGAGTCTCGCTCTGTCACCCAGGCTGGAGTGCAATGGCACAATCTTGGCTCACTAAAACCTCTGCCTCCCGGATTCAAGCAATTCTATTACCTCGGTCTCCTGAGTAGCTGTGACTACAGGTGTGTGCCACCATGCCTAGCTAATTTTTTTTTTTTTTTTTTTTTTTTAGTAGAGACAGGGTTTCAGTGTGTTAGCCAGGATGGTATCGATCTCTAGACCTCATGATCCGCCCACCTTGGCCTCCCAAAGTGCTGGGATTACAGGCATGAACCACCACGCCTGGCTGTAAAATGCTCTTTTGAAGTGATGGCAAGACTTAGGGGCTGTTTGCTTTCTGGAAGTGGTAGTTGAAGTCCTAGCTATGGGTGAGGAAGCTCAAGGGAAGTTAGAGGAGAAGGTCGAGGATAGAACATTGATGAATAGCTGGGTGCCGTGGCTCATGCCTGTGATGCCAGCACTGTTGGAGGTGGAGGTAGGAGGATTACTTGAGCTCAGAAGTTGGAGGCTGCAGTGAGCCATAATGGCGCCACTGTACTTCAGCCTTCGTGACAGAGCAAGACCCTGTCTCTATAAAAATCAACACTGGCCGGGTGCAGTGGCTCATTCCTATAATCTCTGCACTTTGGGAGGCCAAGGTGGGTGGGTCACTTGAGCTCAGGAGTTCGAGACCAGTCTGGCCAACATAGCGAAACCTTGTTTCTATTAAAATAAAAATAGTCAGGCAAGGTGGTGTGTGCCTGTAGTCCCTGCTACTCGTGAGGCTGAGGCATAAGAATCACTTGTGCCACAGAGGCAGAGGTTGCCACGAGCCAAAATTATGCCACTGTACTCCAGCCTGGGTGACAGAGCAAGATTCTTTCAAAAACAAATAGGCTGAGTGTGGTGACTCATGCCTTAGCACTTTGGGAGGCCAAGGCCGGTGGATCACTTGAGGTTAAAAGTTTGAGACTAGCCTGGTTAACCTGTTGAAACCCCACCTCTACTAAAAATACAAAAATTAGCTGGGCATGCTGGTATATGCCTGTAGTCCCAGATACTTGGGAGTTTGAGGCACAAGAATTGCTTGAATTGGGAATTGGGAGGGAAAGTCTCCTGTGAGCCAAGATCGCACCACTGCATTCCAGCTTGGGCAACAGAGCAAAACTTTGGTCTAAAAATACCAAAACAAAGGAAAACCAAACAAGTGGATCATTTAAAAGGCAGAGAAGTGTGCAAGGAAGACTGAGAAAGAAAACGAGAAGTTAGTGTTGTGACATAAATCAAGAGAAGAGAGAGTTTTGAGAAAAAAGGAATGGGCTGGGCATGGTGACTCATGCCTGTAATACCAGCAGTTTGGGAGGCCAAAGCGGTTGGGTCACCTGAGGTCAGGAGTTTGAGACCAGCCTGGCCAACATGGTGAAACCCCGTCTCTACTAAACATACAAAAATTAGCCAGGTGTGGTGGTGTGCACCTGTAATCCCAGCTGCTAGAGAGGCCAAGGCACGAGAATCACTTGAACCTGCGAACGGAAGATTGCAGCGAACTGAGATTATGCCAACATTGTACTCCAGCCTGGGCAACAAAGCAAGACTCCATCTCAGAAAAAAAAAAAAAAAAAAGAATGAATGACATATCAGCTACTGAGATGAGAGGTCAAAAAAGGGGCTGAAAGTGGCAGAGCAGTGGATTGGTTAGGTGCTTCTTAGCCAGTGTCCTTGCCACACGCAGTCCTCCCACTGGTGCTAGGGTTGGTGCTGACCTGCAGATAGGAGGTGAAGAAGCTCAGCTTCTGAGAAGTGAACGCAGTAGTCAGGGCTATGGGGTTTTGTTTGTTTTTTCAAGGTGGTGAAGACATCATGGTGAAGGGAGAGTGTTAATACAGAGAGAGAGGTTGAGAGTTCAGGAGAGAAAAGATAGCATCAAGGGGGAGTCGGGAAGCCGGGCAGTTCACAGGTTACCTTAGAAGAAGGAGCACTTTCATCTCAAAGGTGGGTAACATGGAGCATTAACTACCATCTTGCCCAGCTGCGGAATAATCACCTGCAGAATCAAATATCAAGGCGTATGTCACCACAGATAGATGATTAGTTTCCCAAGAATTAGAACGTGATAAACCTAACAGTACATAGTTGTTTCTAGTAAATAAGATTATTTGCAAATACAAAAAAATGTAAATAACATTATTTGGCAAAGGATGAAAGTAGTAGCTATTGTACAAATTTCTATTTGTAGAGTTTTATTTAAAAACTTTGCCACTGTAGCCAGGCGCAGTGGCTCACGCCTATAATCCCAGCAGTTTGGGAGGCTGAGACAGGTGAATCACTTGACGTCAGGAGTTTGAGACCAGCCTGGCCAACATGGTGAATCCTCATCTCTCCAAAAAATACAAAAATTAGCCAGGTGTGATGTGATGGTGCGCACCTATAATCCCAGCTACTTGGGAGGCTGTGGCAGGAGAAACGCTTGAACCTGGGAGGTGGAGGTTGCAGTGAGCCGAGATTGTGTCATTGCACTCCAGCCTGGGCAACAGAGCAAGACTCTGTCTAAAAAAAATTAAAATTAAAAACTAAAGTCCTTACCACTGTAGCCTCTTTATTACAAGATTGTTGCATTTCTAAGAAATTGCACTATAAAATAGTTGTTTTAATGAGAAAAGCGTTTAAATGGAGAGTTTCAGACTCTCACTAAAGTTATCTACTCGGTGGAATTTAAGTGCTTTTATATAAAAATCTGTAGCTATAAAATTCTGACATCACAAGCATTAGTATTTGATTACATCAGTTGTTGCTAAAGAGAAATTGCTTTTCTTTTCTGGATACTGCAGACACTGTCGTTAGCACTTTATCACCCACCGTTATGTGAAACAAAATCACTCAAAGTAGCTGCTGTGGAAAGCCCAGCAGTTTTTTAATTGTACATTTTTTGATTGTCTGCTCTTTTCCTGTTATAGCTAGTATAGTACAGGCAATGCAAATTCTGTATCCCAGTTAACTAATCACTTTTTATTAACTTCTAACTATGAAAATTTATGCTGTAATATAAAGCCTTGTAACTCCTTAAATCAGAGATCATCAGCATGAACTTTCTTCCTCAGTTTGATATCCTGGAAGATCTGATTCTTAGTTTTTCCTAAATTACTGAATTCAATGGCAACCTGGAAAAATAAAATGCAGCTAGTGTTCACTGACTTGCAAGATTTCTAAAATATATTTGGAAACCTGTCTAGGATTTTCTTTTCCATTTTTTTTTGAGAGGGAGTCTTGCTCTTGTCACCCAGGCTGGAGTGCAGTGGTGCAATCTCGTCTCACTGCAGTCTCTGGCTCCTGGTTTAACTGATTCTGGGTTTAACTGCCTCAGCCTGCTGAGTAGCTGGGATTACAGGCGCCTGCCACCACGCCTGGCTAATTTTTGTACTTTTAGTAGAGACAGGATTTTGCCATGTTGGCCAGGCTGGTCTTGAATTCCTGACCTCAGGTGATAACGCCTGCCTCGGCCTCCCAAAGTGCTAGGACCACAGGTGTGAGCCACCGCACCTGGCCTATGATTTTCTTTTTGGTAGTATCTTGTCTTAATAATCTGTAAGACAAATTTTTTAATTTTCCAGGCATGTAGAATAGGTCATTCATTAAGCATTAAATTCTTCCTTTTTTCCTATGGTTCTGCTCACTTTTAGTATAAAGAATGTTATACTCTAATAGATAGATTTCTTTAAAGATCTGTTTTATTGAGATACAGTTTACTTACCATACAATTCCCCCATTCAAAGTATATAATTGGTTTTTAGTATATATAAGATCTATACAACCATCACTATAGTGAATTTTAGAACATTTCACTAGTAGATTTCTGTAACTATTTCAGCTAAAGAAAATTATAAAAATGGAACCCAATGTAAAACTGTTAATTGTTTTTCTAGTATAGAACCTCATCTGTTGACAGTTTGCAAGTTGTCATAGCTACTTGCCAGTGTAGCATTGAATTCAGTTCTGCCCACTAATTTGTGGAATAAGAAGCTGCTTGTGTGGTAATGCTTTGCACTTAGCGAAAATTGTTAGGCCTGTGTAAGTAGAGGAACTTATATATTCTATAAGATAATCACATTTCCTCGTTTCATTATACAATCTAGTAATGTTTCAAAATTTTTTGACACAGTTTCGTGGTTGTCAAAGGATTACTGTACTTCCAGATGTAGTTTGAGATAAACTCTCTGAATTTTTTTTCTTATTTTTGTGTTACCTTTTCTCTCCAATAGTGTCTTGAGAATTAGAGATAAATTTTTGTTTCTTGTGTGTCCTTCCATGTTACCTAGACAAAATGTGCAGCTGATATTTTAGTTCTTGGATAAATTAACAAAAAACTTCTCTCCCTTCTTCTCTGGGCTGTAGGCATCATAGGCGAGTATTAGTGGAATGGCTAAGAGATCCATCTCAGGAGCTTGAGTTTATTGCTGATATTCTTAATCAGGATGCAAAGAATTATCATGCCTGGCAGCATCGACAGTGGGTTATTCAGGTATTGCCTTTCTTGTACAGTGTTTTTCAGAGCTTTTTTAAACTGAACTAACTAAAATTACTATTAAAATCTGTTTCTAAACGAAAACACACACATGTAAAGATCATTGCACACAAAGTACAGGAGAATTGCTTGAACCCTGCAGAGGGAGTGAGCTGAGATTGCGCCACTGCACTCCAGCCTGGCGAGAGAGTGAGACTTTGTCTCAAAAAAAAGAATTACTCAAATACTTAATTAAAACCTGACATCCTTCGTGTTAGCTACCTTTATAATCTCTTTGGATGTAGTAAATTTTAAATATTTTAAAAATTGAATTATGTCACACATTTGTTAGCAAATTGAGTATAAAAAGCGTATTTTAACTACCGATGTATTATTTTAATTAACAAAGGCATATATTAAGTTTTTTCATAGATAAACTTTGGAATATGAGTTTACAGTAACTGTTAAGTATTTTACTTCTACCCACATGTTAAAATTTTATGCAAAATCCTGCATAGAATAGTTGTTAACTCCCACTCTGGGTTTTTTATTTTAACAAACAATTCTAGTGTTGTTTCCTGTGAATTTTTTTCTAGGGATTGCTACTTTCTGCACTATTCATTAGACCAAGAGCATTTCACCAAATATTTAAAATTTTAAAAATAAATTTTTCCAAATTTGATTAAAGGGATAACATGTTGTAAAGGTATTCAATGTTTATTTATTTCTCAAAAACAAATCACATAAAAGCATACATTTTACGCATACACATGGCTCTCTCCATCTACCACAACAGATTAAGACCTAGAACATAATTAATATTTTTGAAAAGCCCCCTTAACTGGCATGCTTCTTACTGAGATTCTTATAAAAGATTCCTATGAGAAAAGATTTGAAAATATCTCTTAACTGTGTTGTAGTTTATATATTTCTATTTATTTTATAAAGTATACATAATTATCTTTTCACATTTAATATATTATGGTTTTATATGTTTCCAATATAATTTTTTAAAAGGTAATGATTTCAACTATAATGAATTCTGAAAACTGGAGAGAATCTGTCTATAAATTTTCATATGCTAAATAAATGGAAAAAACTTGTTTCAAGTAGGACATACATACATTATGTGAGTTACTTACCTGGCAGGGGAGATATGGTCACTGAGGTGGTTTTCCTAGGATAAAGTTCATTCATTGCACTCTGGATGTGCTGACCCCTGTAATTTCCCCAACTGTGGGAAATTCAACTGCATAATTTGTGATAGGGAGACTGTGTGGCACTTTCCCCTGGTCTTCACAGTTTAAGAACAGGTTTTGCCTGAGCTCAGGAGTTTGAGACCAGTCTGGGCAACACGGTGAAACCCCGTTTCTACTAAAAAATAGAAAAAATTAGCTGAGTGTGTCAGTGTGCCTATAGTCCCAGCTATTCGGGAGGCTGAGGCAGGAGAGTGGCTTGAACCCGGGAGGTAGAAGTTGCAGTGAGCCAAGATTGCGCCATTGCTCTTCCAGCCTGGGCGACAGAGCAAGACTCCATCTCCAAAAAACAACAACAGATTTTCTCTGTTTATTTTTATTTAAAAAAAAAAAAGTGAGTCAGTGGTTCTCAAGCAGTGGTGATTGTGTCCCCTAGGGGACATTTTTGGTTGTTACAACTTGGGGCATGTTGCTATTGGGAGCTATTGGGTAGAGGGCCAGGATGCTACTAAACATCCCAAAATGCACAGGGCAGCGCTCCCACAACAAAGAATTATCCAACCTGTACTCTCAGCAGTGTCACAGCCAGGGAATTCTGGTCTATTTCTATATGGAAAGCTATTTTATTAATATTTTAGTTATTTTCAATCAGGATTTAAAGAATTCAGCATATTCTTTTATGATGTAAAATGGGACTCTGAGGCAGTTCTTTAAAAAATATTTTATGGCCGGGTGCAGAGGCTCCCACGCCTGTAATCCTAGCACTTTGGGAGGCCAAGGTGGGCAGATCACAAGGTCAGGAGATCGAGACCATCCTGGCTAACATTGTGAAACCCTGTCTCTACTAACAATAAAAAAATTAGCTGGGCATGGTGGCACACAGTTGTAGTCTCAGCTACTTGGGAGGCTGAGGCAGAAGAATTGCTTGAACCAGGGAGGCAGGGATTGTAGTGAGCTTAGGTTGTACCACTGCACTCCAACCTGGGCGACGGACTGAGACTCCATTTCAAAAAAAAAAGTTTTATGACATATATTAGAAATGTAAAATTTTAGTTTTAAATGTTAGTTTTAAACATGAATTATAAAACATTCATGGCCTGTATGTCATTGGCATTGACTGTACTAGATCTTCTTAAGTGAAGGAGTGAAGAACCCTTCTTTGCCCCACATCCAACACAGATTGGATGTATTTTACTGTATTTCATGTATGTCTCATTTATATAAAATATAGTACGATGTATTTTATACAAAATTATACAATTTAAATGAAATTTTACGATGAGGCTGGGTGCAGTGGCTCACCTGTAATCCCAACACTGGGAGGCCCAGGCAAGTGGATCCTGTGAGGACAGGAGTTCAAGACTAGCCTGGCAACTTGGCAAAACTCTGTCCCTGTAAAAAATACAAAAAAATTAGCTGAGCATAGTGGCGCATGCTTGTGTTTGCAGCTACTCAGGAGGTTGAGGCAGGAGAATCACTTCAGCCCAAGAGATTGAGGCTATGGTGAGCTACGCTCCACTGCACTCCAGCCTGGGTGACAAAGCGAGACCTTGTCTCAATTAAAAATAAAAATGAAATATACACACACACAGAATACTACTCACCAGTCAAAATAAATAAACGATCCATACAGGCAACAGCTTGAATGGATCTCAAGTGTATGATCCTTAGTGGAAAAGGGAGTCTCAGGTTTCATACTGCATGGCTCCATTGACAGAACATCCTTGAAACAGCAAAATTATAGATGTAGAGAATGGTTGAGAGGTTGCCAGGGTGAGGGAAAAGGGGGTACAGCTATAAAGGGGTAGCATCAGGCAGTTTCTTTGTGCTAAGGGAATAGTTCTGCATCTTGATTGTAGTGGTTATACTACACATGGGATAAAATTGTGTAGAACTATATTCTGCCCCATTCCCCACCTGTACCACATACACACAAGTGACTACATACAAGATCTGAATATGCTGGGCGCAGTGGCTCACACTTGTAATCTGAGGACTTTGGGAGGCCGAGGCAGGCGGATCACCTGAGGTCAGGAGTTCCAGACCAGCCTAGCCAGCATGGTGAAACCCTGTCTCTACTGAAAATACAAAAATAGCCGATGGTGGGCACCTGTAATCCCAGCTACTTGGGAGGCTGAGGGAGGAGAATCACTTGAACTGAGGAGGTGGAAGTTACAGTGAGTTGGGATTGCTCCATTGCACTCCAGCCTGGGTGACAGAGTGAGACTCCATCACAAAAACAAAAAAACCAAAAACATAGGAATCAGGTTAGCAGTTCCATAACAATAATGTGCTGATGTCATTTTCTGGTTTTGGGATTGCGCTTCAGTTAGTAAGGTGTTTACAATTTGGGGAATCTAAGTGAAGAGTACACAAGGCACTGTGTTATTTTTATAACATATGAGTGAAAACAAACAGAAACACATGTATAGAAAACACTACTCTCAATTTTTTGTTAATTAGATTCAGTGGACATAAAATTATTGTTACACTGATAAAACAGCTTGTAGATGTTTACGCTCTCTTTCTATACTTAGCATGCTGGAGACTGAGAACAGTGGGAGGATACCAAGGTCCACACTAGGATCACTGAACTCCACTAGGAACTTTCACAAAAATTTTCCTTTCCTTAATGCATTTATTTTCATGATCACCTGTAAAATCGGGGACTATCACAGGAGATTCTTACTTTTTTTGCTGTTATCAAATAAGAAAACTCCATTATCTTTTTCATAGTTAATGTCCCCTACTTTTGAAGTATTTGTAAGTTTTATCATTCTCCTCTTTCAAATTATCTTTATTGGTTTTCTTCCCCCCAGGATTTTTTTTTAAGACAGCTTTATAATATAAAGAATTTATATTGGCTGGGTATGGTGGGTTATGCCTGTAATCCCAGCACTTTGAGAGGCCGAGGTGCACAGATTGCTTGAGTTCAGGAGTTCAAGACCAGACTGGGCAAATGGTAAAACTCCATCTCTACGAAAAATACAAAAATTAGCCAGTTGTGGTGGCACCTGCCTATAGTCCCAGCTATTTGAGGGGCTGAGGCAAGAATATTGCTTGAGCCTGGGAGATGGTGGTTGCGATAACCTGAGATCATGCCATTGCACACCAGCCTGGGTAACAGAGCAAGACTACATCTCAAAAAAAGTTAATAAAAATTTATATCTTGGTCCAATCGTGTGTATTTCTTTCTGTTTTTTGAGACAGGGTCTCTTTCTGTTGTCCAGAGTGCAGTGGTGCGATCATAGCTTGCTGCAGCCTTAAACTCCTGGGCTCAAGCTATCCTCCCTCTTCAGCCTCCTGAGTAGCTGGACTCTAGGCATGTGCCACTATGCTTGACTAATTTTTTTATTTTTATTATTATTATTTTTGGAGATGGAGCCTCACTTTGTCCCCCGGGCTGGAGTGCAGTGGCTCTATCTCGGCTCACTGCAACCTCCGCCTTCGGTTCAAGCGATTCTTGTTCCTCAGCCTCTCGAGTAGCTGGGATTACAGGCGCCTGCCACCATGCCTGGCTAATTTTTATATTTTTAGTAGAGATGGGATTTCGCCATGTTGGCCAGGATGGTTTTGAACTCCTGACCTCAGCTGATCCGCCTGCTTTGGCCTCCCAGAGTGCTGGGATTACAGATGTGAGCCACCCTGCACGGCCTGCCTTTATTATTTTTTTAAAAGTGGTCTTATGTTGCCTTGGCTGGTCTCGAACTCCTGCTGCTTCAGCCTCCCGATGCAGTGGAATTGCTGGTGTGAGCCACCACTCTTGGGCATGTATGCTTCTCTCCTGTATTTTAATGTAATTCTGTCACATATGTGCACTTTTGAATGCTGCCCTTTTACTTTGATATATTAATATCAAGTCACATCAAATTTATTTCTATACTATGGTCACTTATTCTCTTACTAGTGAGTTTGGTGGGGTTTTACCCCCAAATTTTCTTTGATGTCTTTTTTACTGCTAGAATATGTCTTTCCAGTCTCTATCATCAGTTTCATACTTGTGTCCCCCTCTATTTTCTTTACTTGCAGCTGTGACTACCTTCTGAATTTGTGATAAATCCCGTGTCCTCCGTTCTACCTTCTTTGTCGAAGTTTTCTTTATTTAGTTTTATTGTTCATAAATAATGGGACATTTCTAATTGGATGGTTTTTCTAAATTTTTCCTTTAGGAATTTAAACTTTGGGATAATGAACTGCAGTATGTGGACCAACTTCTCAAAGAGGATGTGAGAAATAACTCTGTCTGGAACCAAAGATACTTCGTCATTTCTAACACCACTGGCTACAATGATCGTGCTGTATTGGAGAGAGAAGTCCAGTTAGTAATCTTCTTCACTTGCTCGTTCATTACAAACATCTTTGCATGCCTGCCATGTCTCAGACACTGGGGATATAGCAGATCAAGATCCTACCCCATGGTACTAAGAGGACAGAGTACTGAGTGAAACATACAATGATAGATTTACAAATAACGTAGTATACCTCTACTTGTAGTATCTTAAGTTTCTTGAAATATTACTACTGGAGATTGAAAAGAATTCCAGTGTTATGGGGTATTTTCTAAGAAGCTTTATTTTAAAACTATCTCATTAAATTTTGTCGCATTTAAGATAATCATCCCCAGATGCCATGTTACCCTAATGCAGGATCTGGGGCTGGATAAGTTTTGGTTGTAGGGGGCTATCCTGTGTTTTGTAGGGTGTTTAGCAGCATCCTGTTTAAACAAAAATGTTTTCAGCGCCGGGCGCAGTGGCTCAAGCCTGTAATCCCAGCACTTTGGGAGGCCGAGGCAGGTGGATTACGAGGTCAAGAAATCGAGACCATCCTGGTCAACACGGTGAAACCCCGTCTCTACTAAAAATACAAAAAATTAGCTGGGCATGGTGGTGCGTGCCTGTAATCCCAGCTACTCAGGAGGCTGAGGCAGGAGAATTGCCTGAACCCAAGAGGCGGAGGTTGCGGTGAGCCAAGATCGCACCATTGCACTCCAGCCTGGGTAACAAGTGAAACTCCGTCTCAAAAACAAAAAAACAAAACAAAACAAAAAACAAAAATGTTTTCAGACATTGCCAGCTGTCCCCTGAGAAGTGAAGTCACCCTCAAGTTGAGAACCACTATACAAAGAGCTATTATTAGAGCAAGAAATTCTGAGTTGGCATCAATTTCTATGTTGTATCCATAAACATTAGTAGCCACGATTTTTCTTACCTTACTTGTCCATTGTTTCTGAGTTTCTGTTTCACAATTTGAACAGGCTTACTGTTTTTAGAGCCTGATGAGATGGGAGTCATAATTTTAGTATAGACATGTTTGAATGACTGTTGGGCAGAGCTGATTTGTATGGTGTACCTGCCTGTCATCCTCCAAGCCCTTGCTTTTGCCTGGATTGAGGCAGCTTGCTCTTATTTTATCTGCTCTATACAGGATTCTGGTGACTTGAAATTTATAAAAGGCTTCAATCCATGTTTCACTTTAATGCCCCGCTTTGGGCTTATGTCTGGAGCACACACTACCCCTCAGGCACACTTTATGCTTTCTTTCTACTGCTCTCCTATATAAAGCATACCTGGTTTTTTGAGCCTTGCAGATATTATGGTTGGGTTTTTAAAAATATATATATAAATTGAAGATTCGTGGCAGTCTTGCATTGAGCAACTCTGTCAGTGTCATTTTTTCTAACAGCATGTACTCACTTTGTGTCTCTGTGTCACGTTTTGGTACTCCTCAGTATTTCACATTTTTTATAATCATTATATCTGTTCTAGTGAGTTGTGATCAGTCATCTTTGATCAGTCGATTGTAATTGTTTGGGGGTGCCACAAACTGCACCTGTATAAAATAGCAAATATCACTGTTCCAAGTGTTCCCTCATCTCTTTCCCTCACCTCAGGCCTCCCTATTCCCTGAGATACAGCAATATTGACATTAAGCCATTTAACCCTGCAATGTCCTCTGAGTGTTCAAGTGAAAGGAAGAGTCACAGCCTCTTACTTTAAATAAAAAACTAGAAGTAATTAAGCTTAGTGAGGAGTGCATGTCAAAAGCTGAGATAGGTCCAAAGCTAAGCCTCTTGCACCAAACAGTTAGCCATATTGTGAATGCACAAAAAGAAATATTGAAGGAAATTAAAAGTGCTGCTCCAGCGAACACATGGACAAAACAGCATTATTGCTGATATGGAAAAAGTTTGAGTGGCCTGGATAAAAGATCAGACCAGCCACAACATTCCCTTTACCCAAAACCTAATCCAGAGGAAGCCCTTATTCCCTTTAATTGAATGAAGGCTGAGAGAAGTGAGGAAGCTGCAGAAGAGAATTTGGATGCTAGCAGAGGTTGGTTCATGAGGTATAAGAAGGATGCCATCTCCATGCATGGAAGTACAAGGTGAAGTAGCAAGTGCTGCTGCAGAAGCTGCAGCAAGTTCTCCAGAAGGTCCAGTTCAGATCACTGATGAAGGTGGCTGCATATAAACAGAAGATTTTCAGTGTAAACAGCCTTATATTGGAAGAAGATGCCGTCTAGGACTTTTCATAGCCAGAGAAAGCACTGCTTCAAAGCTTCACACAGCTGGCTGAATCTTGTTAGAGGCTAATGCAGCTGGTGAATTTAAGTTTAAACCAGTGGTCAATGACCATTCTGGAAATCCTAGAGCTCTTAAGAAATATGCTGAATCTCCTCTGCCTGTGCTCTGTAAATGGAACAACAAAGCCAGGATGACAGCACATCTGTTTACAGCATGGTTTACTGAAAATTCTAAGCCCTATTTGAGGCCTATTGTTCAGAAAAATTTCTTTGAAAGTATTACTGCTCATTGACAATGGATGTGGTCACCCAAGAGGTCTAATGGAGATGTGCAAAGAGATGCTGTTTTCATGCCTGTGAACACAACATCTGTTCTGCAGCCCTGGATAAAGGAGTCATTTTGATTTTAAAGTCTTGCTGTTTAAGAAATACATTTTGTAAGACTATAGCTGTCATAGATAGTGATTCCTCCGCAGTCAGTTGACAATCTTCTGGAAGGAATTCACCATTCTAGATTCTGTTAGGAATATTTGTGATTCACAGGAGGAGGTCAAAATATCAACATTAACAGGAGTTTGGAAGAAGTTGATTCCAGCCCTCATGGATGACTTTGAGGGGTTCAAGACTTTAGAGGAAGGAGGAATTGCTGCTGAGGTGGAAACAGCAAGGAAACTAGAATTGGAAGTGGAGCCTGAAGATGTGACCAAACTGCTTCATCACGATAATACTTGATCAGATGAGGAGTTCCTTCTTACGGATGAGTAAAGGAAGTAGTTGCTTAAGATGGAATCTACTCTTGGTAACAATGTTATGAACATCGTTGAAATGACAACAAAGGATTTTTAATATCTTGACTATTACCTAAACTTAGTTGATAAAGCAGCAGCAGGATTTGAGAGGATTGACTCTAGTTTTGAAAAGTTTTACTGTGAGTAAAATACTGTCAGCATCACATGCTACAGAGAAATCTTTTATTGTTGTCTTATTTTAAGAAATTGCAGGGCTGGGCGCGGTGGCTCACGCCTGTAGTCCCAGCACTTTGGGAGGCCGAGGTGGGTGGATCACGAGGTCAAGAGATCGAGACCATCCTGGTCAACATGGTGAAACCCCGTCTCTACTAAAAAAAATACAAAAAATTAGCTGGGCATGGTGGCACATGCCTGTAATCCCAGCTACTTGGGAGGCTGAGGCAGGAGAATTGCCTGAACCTAGGAGGCGGAGGTTGTGGTGAGCCGAGATCGCGCCATTGCACTCCAGCCTGGGTAACAAGAGCGAAACTCCGTCTCAAAAAAAAAGAAAAAAAAAAAAAAAGAAAAGAAATTGCCACAGCCATCTCATCCTTCAGCACCCAGCACCCTACCCTGATCAGTCAGCAGCCATCAACATGGAGGCCAGACCCTCCACCAGCAGAAAGATTATGACTTGTTGAAGGCTTGGATGATCATTAGCATTTTTTAGCAATAAAGTATTTTTAAATTGAGGTATGTACATTGTTTTTTTAGATATGATGCTATTGCATACTAGACTACAGTACAGTGTAAACATAATTTATGTACTGGAAAACAGAAAAGTCGCCTGACTTGCTTAATTGTGATAAAATTGCTTTATTGAGATGGTCTAGAACAGAACCTTTGGTATCTGTAAGGTATGCCTGTACTGTTTAATATGATAGTGACTAGCCACATATGGCTATTTTTCAATCCGTATGATTATAAAAAAATTAAAAATACAGTTCTTCCATTGCACATGTCCTGTTTCAGGTGTGCAGTACCCACATGTGGCTAGTGATTACCATATTGGACAGCACATACAAAGAACATTTCCATCATCACTGGTGGATTTATTGAACATTGCTGGTCTAAAGATTGACAGTAGTTAAGAGTAACAAAGTATTTTAAAAATTGAATATGAAGAGTTTTGAAAATGCAAATTTTTTGCCTTTCCAGAGGCAGATCACTGCCTGTTTCACAATAGGCAGATCCTATTGTCAAATAGAAACAGAAATAATTACCCAAGAATCTAAAGGAGCTTCCGGTATTTAATATTTATTTTCCTTTTACGATGGGTAAAGGAAGCATTTAAAATGTTAAGAGTAGCTGTAGGTGTCTAGAATTTACAGTTTGTTAACTTTTAACTCTAAGCATGCAGATAGATGTGCATAATTATTTTTGTCATCTTTTTATTATAAAAGTAATACAGTGTAGTTATGGGGGAAATTGTACTAAATTCTATAAAGTCAAAAGTCTCTTACTGTTCTTCATCCCACATCCCATTTTCCAGAGTGAGCTATAATTGGGTGAAATTCCCCAAACTTTATAAATACACACACTTGCAAACATTTTTAACAGCAACCTAGATAATAATGTTACAGGCATTGCCTTTTCATATAATGTGTCATAGACCTTTTTCTAGACTATTAGTGCATAGTCTTCTAGTACTACCAATAACAGCATTTATCAAGTATTTATACTATGTGCCACTAATTCTAACAGCTCTCTGAGACACTCCATGAAGAACTTGAGGTTCTAGGTAATTCTGTAATTTGCCTAAGAACACATAGATAATTTATGGGGCCAGGATTTGAAGGGAGGGAGCGTGATCTCAAAGTTCATGGGTTTGTTTTGTTTTCCTAAGAGGGTTTCACTCTTACCCAGTCGGGAGTGCTCGCTGCTGCCTTGAGCTCCTGGGCTTAAGGAACCCTCCCACCTCAGCTTCTGAGTTAGCTGAGACTACAGGCATGTGCCACTGCTCCCAGCTAATTGTTAAAATTTTTTGTAGAGGTAAGGTCTCCCTATGTTGTCCAGAATGGTCTTATCTCCTGGCCTCAAGCAGTCTTTCTGCTTTGACCTATGAAAGCTCTAGGATTACAGATGTGAGCCATCATATGCAGCTAAAGTTAATGTTTTAACCGTAAAAATAGGTAATGCTTTAGTACACATGTATGTAAATAAAAATTTAGATATTGCCAACATGAAATTAAGAATCTTAAACAAGGACCAGCTAAGACCCGGAGGAACATGGTTTCGCAAAGAATTGGAAACATTAAGTCATGTAAAAGTTGTTAGAGAAATATTTTTATAATGTTGAATGAGTTTATTATTACGCTGTGGGAAAAAAAATCTTAATAGAAACAGCACTGCAGCAGAACCAAGACTACCTACCAAGCTTTAGTCAGTGACTCACTCATCTGGGCAAGTATGTGGTGAAGCAAGTTCTGTGGCTCCCTTGGGATTTGTGGTAATCAGGTCTGAATTATATTTTATCTGTTTAAGGGGAAGGCAGAGATATGGAGCACCCATTTTGACAGAATCACGTCACAGTTTACTAGTCATTTTGCTTTGGAATATAAGAAATACATTCTTGGGTTGGTTTTCATTTTTATTGTTTGCCTATAAAATTTCCATGCTGTTTTTTAATGATAGCTAAGATTATGTAAATTGTCCTATTTCAGTGACTAAGGATTTGTTGGGATAGAGCTTAGACTGTTTTCCCAAGGCTTACCAATAAATGGAAAGCCTCCTTCTTTTAGCTGATGTTTCCTTCAAAAGGAAAATTTTTCATATTATTTAAAAGAATTTGTTTTCTTTTCTTTTTTTTTTTGAGATGTAATTCGCTCTTGTTGCCCAAGCTAGAGTTCATTGGTGTGATCTTGGCTCACTGCAACCTCTGACTCCTAGGTTCAAGTGATTTTCCTACCTCAGCATCCCGAGTAGCTGGGATTACAGACATGTGCCACCATGCCTGGTTAATTTTGTATTTTATTTATTTTATTTTTAAAATTAATTTATTTATTTTTGAGACATAGTCTTGCTCTGTTGCCAGGCAAGAGTGCAGTGGTGCAGTTTTGGCTTACTGCAACCTCCACCTCCCTTGTTCAAACAATTCTCCTGCCTCAGCCTCCTGAGTAGCTGGGACTACAGGCGTGTGCCACCACACCCAACTACTTTTTGTATTTTTAGTAGAGATGGAGTTTCACCATGTTGGCCAGGATGGTCTTGACCTCATGATTTACCCATCTCAGCCCCCCAAACTGTTGGGATTACAGGTGTGAGCCACTGCTCCCAGCCTGATTTTGTATTTTTAGTAGAAACAGGGTTTCTCCATGTTGGTCAGGCTGGTCTCGAACTCCCAACCTCAGGTGATTCGCCTGCCTCAGCCTCCCAAAGTGCTGGGATTGCAGGTGTGAGCCACTGCGCCTGGCCTTAAAGGAAATATTTCATGTTAATTTTTTTTCCCATTGTAAATTGAAGCTTTTAGATTAGTTATGTGTCCTTCCCTAGAACTGAATTGACAGCTGCAGCCTCGAGAGATTCTCTGATTTAAGTATGACCTGGAGAGGTGCCACAGTCCACTAAGAGAGAGATGCTGACACAAGTAAAAGTATGTTTCCAAAGCTGTGCTACAATCTTATTAAAACTGTGTCTCATCATTGTACTGTTCTTTTATAACTGTATATACATTTTTCTTGCAGATACACACTGGAAATGATTAAACTAGTCCCACATAATGAAAGTGCATGGAACTATTTGAAAGGGTAAGAGGTTGTTGTTTTATTATAAGAAAAAAAAATGGCTATTTGATACATCATGGAGTATATTCCATAATCAGATTCCAAAAGGATAGTAAATAATTTTTCATTTTTCTGGACCCAAGAGCAGAAGTATAACAGCATTATGGAAACTCTGGAAAAGTGCCCTCTACCTTTCTCTACACCTCCCAAACACCTGCCAACACTGTTTTCAGAACAATCCACCAGTAAATAATGCCATTTTAATTGTATTTATGAATCCTGTAGTCTTTTTTTTTTTTTTTTTTGAGACGGAGTCGCACTCTGTCTTGACAGTCTCTAGGCTGGAGTGCAGTGGCACAATCTTGGCTCACTGCAACCTCCACCTCCTGGGTTCAAGCGATTCTCCTGCCTCAGCCTCCTGAGTAGCTGAGACTATAGGCGCACACTGCCATGCCGGCTAATTTTTGTATTTTTTAAAATTATACTTTAAATTCTGGGGTACATGTGCAGATCATACAGGATTGTTACATAGGTATACACATGCCATGGTTGTTTGCTGCATCCATCCCCCTGTCATCTACGTTAGGTATTTCTCCTAATGTTATTCCTCCCCAATCCCCCCACCAAGTGCTATCCCTCCCCTAGCTCTTTCACCCCTTAACAGGCCATGGTGTGTGATGTTCCTCTCCTTGTGTCCATGTGTTCTCATTGTTTAAGACCCACTTATAAGTGAGAACATGCAGAATTTGGTTTTCTGTTCTTGTATCAGTTTGCTGAGAATGATGGTTTTCAGCTTCATCCATGTCCTTGCAAAGGACATGAACTCATCTTTTCTTATGGCTGCATAGTATTCCATGGTGTATATGTGCCATGTTTTCTTTATCCAGTCTATCATTGATGGGCATTTGGGTTGGTTCCAAGTCTTTGCTATTGTAAACAGTGCTGCAGTGAACATACATGTACCTGTGTCTTTATAATAGAATGATTTATAATCCTTTGGATGTATACTCAGTAATGGGATTGCTGGGTCAAATGGTATTTCTATTTCTAGATCATTGAGGAATCGCCATACTGTCTTCTTCCACAATGCTTGAACTAATTTACACTCTTACCAACAGTGTAAAAGTGTTCCTATTTCTCTACATCCTCTCCAGCATCTGTCGTCTCCAGATTTTTTAATGGTTGCCATTCAAACTACTGTGAGATGGTATCTCATTGTGGTTTTGATTTGCATTTCTCTGATGACCAGTGATGATGAGCATTTTTTCATATGTTTGTTGGATGCATAAATGTCTTCTTTTGAAAAGTGTCTGTTTATATCCTTTGCCCACTTTTTGATGAAGTTTTTTTTTCTTGTAAATTGGTTTAAGTTCTTTGTAGATTCTGGATGTTAGCCCTTTGTCAGATGGGTAGATTGCAAAATTTTTTTCCCATTCTGTTGGTTGCTGGTTCACTCTAATGACTGTTTCTTTTGCTGTGCAGAGGCTCTTAAGTTTAATTAGATCCTATTTGTCTATTTTGGCTTTTGTTGCCATTGTTTTTGGTGTTCTCATCATGAAGTCCTTTCCTATGCCTGTGTCCTGAATGGTATTGCCTAGGTTTTCTTCTAGAGTTTTTATGGTGTTAGGTCTTACGTTTAAATCTTTAATCCATCTGGAGTTAATTTTTGTATAAGGTATAAGGAAGGGGTCCAGTTTCAGCTTTCTGCACATGGCTAGGCAGTTTTCCCAACACCATTTATTAAACAGGGAATCCTTTCCCCATTGCTTATTTTTGTCATGTTTGTCAAAGATCAATTGGTTGTAGATGTGGCATTACTTCTGAGGCCTCTGTTCTGTTTTGGTACCAGTATCATGCTATTTTGATTACTGTAGTCTTATAGTATAGTCTGAAGTCAGGGAGTGTGATGCCTGCAGCTTTGTTCTTTTCACTTAGAATTGTCTTGGTTACGTGGGCTCTTATTTGGTTCCATATGAAGTTTAAGGTAGTATTTTCCAGTTCTGTGAAGAAGGTCAATGGTAGCTTGATGGGGATAGCATTGAATCTATAAATTACTTTGGGCAGTATGGCCATTTTCATGATACTTATTTTTCCTAACCATGAGCATGAAATGTTTTTTCATCTGTTTGTGTATTCTCATATTTCCTTGAGCAGTGGTTTGTAGTTCTCCTTGAAGAGGTCCTTCACATCCCTTGTTAGTTGTATTCCTAGGTTATTCCTCTTTGTAACAATTGTGAATGGAAGCTCACTCATGATTTGGCTCTCTGTTTATCTGTTACTGGTGTATAGGAATGCTTGTGATTTTTTGCACATTAATTTTGTATACTGAGACTTTGCTGAAGTTGCTTATCATCTTAAGGAGATTTTGGGCTGAGACGATGGGGTCTTCTAAACATACAATCATGTTGTCTGCAAATAGAGACAATTTGACTTCCTATTTTCCTAATTGAATACCCTTTATTTCTTTTTCTTGCCTGATTGCTCTGGCCAGGACTTCTAATACTATGTTGAATAGGAGTGGTGAGAGAGGGCACCCTTGTCTTGTGCCAGTTTTCAAAGAAAATGCTTCCAGTTTTTGCCCATTCAGTATGATATTGGCTGTGGGTTTGTCATAAATAGCTTTTATTTTGAGATATGTTCCATTGATACCTAGTTTATTGAGCGTTTTTAGCATAAAGCACTGTTGAATTTTGTTGAAGGCCTTCTCCGCATCTATTGAGATAATCATGTGGTTGTTTTCTTTGGTTCTGTTTATGTGATGGATTACGTTTATAGATTTGCGTATGTTGAACCAGCCTTGCATTCCAGGGATGAAGCCAACTTGATAGTGATGGATAAGGTTTTTGGTGTGCTGTTGGATTCAGTTTGCCAGTATTTTATTGAAGATTTTCGCCTCAATGTTTGTCATGGATACTGGCCTGAATTTTTTTTTTTTTTAGTTGTGTTTCTGCCAGGTTTTGGTATCGGGATGATGTTGGTTTCATAAATGAGTTAGGGAGGATTCCGTCTTTTTATATTGTTTGGAATAGTTTCAGAAGGAATGGTACCAGCTTCTCTTTGTACATCTGGTTGAATTCGGCTGTAAACTGTCTGGTCCTGGACTTCTTTTTGGTTGGTAAGCTATTAATTGCTGCCTCTACTTCAGACCTTGTTATTGGTCTACTCAGGGATTCAACTTCTTCCTGGTTTAGTCTTGGGAGGGTGTAAATGTCCAGGAGTTCATCCATTTCTTCTAGATTACTGGTTTATATGCATAGAGGTGTTTGTAGTAATCTCTGATGGTAGTTTGTATTTCTGTTGAATTGGTGGTGATATACCATTTATCATTTTTTATTGCATCTATTCAATTCTTCTTTCTTTTTAATTCTGGCTAGTGGTCTATCTATTTTGTTGATCTTTTAAAAAAATCAGCTCCTGGATTCATTCATTTTTTTGAGGGTTTTTTGTATCTCTGTCTCCTTCATTTCTGCTCTGATCTTAGTTATTTCTTGTTTTCTGCTAGCTTTTGAATTTGTTTGATCTTGCTCCTCTAGTGCTTTTGAATTTGTTTGATCTTGCTCCTATAGTTCTTTTTTTTTTTTTTTTTTAATTTTTTATTGGATTTTAGGTTTTGGGGTACATGAGCAGAGCATGCAAGACAGTTGCGTAGGTACACACATGGCACTGTGCTTTGCTTCCCTTCTCCCCTTCACTCACATTTGGCATTTCTCCCCAGGCTATCCCTCCCCACCTCCCCCTCCCACTGGCCCTCCCCTTTTCCCCCCAATAGACCCCAGTGTTTAGTACTCCCCTTTCTGTGTCCATGTGTTCTCATTTTTCATCACCCACCTATGAGTGAGAATATGCGGTGTTTCATTTGCTGTTCTTGTGTCAGTTTGCTGAGGATGATGTTCTTCAGATTCATCCATGTCCCTAGAAATGACACAAATTCATCATTTTTGATTGCTGCATAATAGTCCATGGTATATATGTGCCACATTTTTCCAATCCAGTCTATTATCAATGGGCATTTGGGTTGATTCCAGGTCTTTGCTATTGTAAACAGTGCTGCAAGGAACATTCGTGTACATGTGTCCTTATAGTAGAACGATTTATAGTCTTTTGGATACATACCCAGTAATGGGATTGCTGGGTCAAATGGAATTTCAATTTCTAAGGCCTTGAGGAATCACCACACCGTCTTCCACAATGGTTGGACTAATTTACACTCCCACCAACAGTGTAAAAGTGTTCCTTTTTCTCCACATCCTCTCCAGCATTGGTTGTCTCCAGATTTTTTAATGATCGCCATTCTAACTGGCGTGAGATGGTATCTCAATGTGGTTTTGATTTGCATCTCTCTGGTGACCAGTGACGATGAGCATTTTTTCATATGATTGTTGGCCTTATATATGTCTTCTTTCGTAAAGTGTCTGTTCATATCCTTTGCCCACTTTTGAATGGGCTTGTTTGTTTTTTTCCTGTAAACCTGTTTGAGTTCTTTGTAAATTCTGGATATCAGCCCTTTGTCAGATGGGTAAACTCCAAAAATTTTTTCCCATTCTGTTGGTTGCTGATTCACTCTAGTGACTGTTTCTTTTGTCGTGCAGAAGCTGTGGAGTTTCATTAGGTCCCATTTGTCTATTTTGGCTTTTGTTGCCAATGCTTTTGGTGTTTTGTTCATGAAGTCCTTGCCTACTCCTATGTCCTGGATAGTTTTGCCTAGATTTCCTTCTAGGGTTTTTATCGTGCCAGGTCTGATTAAGTCTTTAATCCATCTGGAGTTAATTTTAGTGTGAGGTGTCAGGAAGGGGTCCAGTTTCTGCTTTCTGCACATGGCTAGCCAGTTTTCCCAACACCATTTGGTAAACAGGGAGTCCTGCCCCATTGCTTGTTTTTGTCAGGTTTATCAAAGATTATATAGTTATAGATATGTTGTGTTGCCTCCGGTGCCTCTGTTTTGTTCCATTGGTCTATATCTCTGTTTTGGTAGCAGTACCATGCTGTTTTGATTACTGTAGCCTTGTAGTATAGTTTGAAATCCG